TCTGGTTATAAATCAATTCACGAGAAAAGAGAAGTATTAAAATTAAGTTATTTCAAATTATAAAAAAATAACATTATTTTTGAAACAAACTAAAAAAATAATATGTCATTATAAATTAACAGAAAGAACGTACTAATTTAAGACATTGTACATTATTGCATACTTCCTACCCTCCATTGTTTGGCACCATCCAAATTTTGAGAATCCAACAAGTTTTTTTATCATATTTTTTTTGTATATGCCTTTCAATATTTTTTTAAAATGATTCATTATAATACTTCTATTTAATTTTATACATATAATTTTTTATTTCAATTTTTTAAATTTTTTATATCCAAATTCACAATTAAAACTTAACAAATTAACTCTTGATATTCGAATGGTACCACCTATTTACTTTTTATTAATAAAGAATTATTAATCAAGTGAGATAAAACTCATGAAAATGGCAAACAATATGATTACATGAAGTAATATTTTGTCCATATATTAGAAGAACAAAAATACACGTAAAATTGCGTCACTCTTTTTTTCCAATAACTAAAAAGTAATGTTCCCAAAGTGATGTCAAGTCTACCAAAATCTTCCACGCTTCGTTTCTCCTCTTCTTTCTATTATTTCCTCCGTTCATTTTTTCTCGTCCAACTTATTAAGAAGTGATCATTTTTATGATAAAGCAAACCTTACATATTAGTGATTCATTTTGAAGTACAGTACGAATTTAGATTCAGAGCGGGTAATACCTCTAACGAATTGGACCATCACAAATGGTATCAAATCCCCTCATGTTTTAGCCATGCTAGTAGGTAATAATTTTAACTAAGTTTATTTAGTGATATGTTGAGTCTAGAAAAATTTCATGAACAAATCTTATAATGATGCGTTTTAAAATCGTGCACATACAGCGAACAATATCAGTTGCAGATATTTTTTTTTATTTTTCGTACTACTCTACTAAAATAATTAAGGCACTCCACCTCACTGCCAAAAATAATTTGTTGGTTCATCAATTATTGAATTGTAACTTCCAACGGTTTCACATGAATGAGCATTAAAAGAGGAACACTTGCCCAATAATGACAACAAGATATTTTTGAATTGCTTGATAAAATTAGTCCATAAAATATAATTTATACACATGTATGTATAATAAAATACTCTATAATTGCTTCATTTATATAATGTCAGTTATACTTCATGACTACGTTCATTAGTTAAAAACATTTGAACGAATAAAAAATATCAATTATAACTTCATGAGTACGTTCATTAGTTAAAACGTTTGAACTTATAAAAAAATAGAAAAAATAAAACTTAGTAAGAATTGAACGAATTGATTTTATGCTATTTCAATCAAAGTAACGTTTGCACATTAGCTCAGCAAGTATGACTAATCCAAAGTCATCCATAAGAAGTCAAATGAAATGAACTAACAAGAAGAAAAATTGAAATGACTATTTCAAGTTTTCAACTCTAACTAGCAGGCATTTTCTATGTTCAACATAACCAGTTGAACTTGTTCTAAGCAGCACCTATTTTCTAATTGTTGTTGTTCTGCTTTTCAGCTGCAGTTTTGTTGTATTCTTCCATTTCCTTTTTGTATCCTTCCATCGCTTCAGCTGCTTCGTTATTCCAGACTTGTTTTTCTTCTTCACTCAATTCCTACACATCAAAAAATAGTAAATGTACGTCAAATGACAGTCTGGTGCACAAAACATCCTGCGATCATGCAGGGCAAGGGAAAGGGTCGCACCCCAATGGAATGAGGGGGTGTAAGTGTAAACAATCTATCCTTATGCAAGCACCAAGACTCGACCCCACACACTATAGGGTGTGATCCGATGCATGAAGCATCCTAGGATCACATGGAACACTCAATAACAACAACATCTAATCCCACAAAAGTGGGGTCTGGAGAGGGTAAAAATCTACTCAAACTCAATGAAAACACAAAGTAGTATACAGAAAATACGGAAATGGTGAAAGGCCGTGTCAAAAAGGAATTCTACCTTCCATTTCAGTGAAATGAGAGCATTAATGGTAGAATTGTTAATTCCAGGACGCTCTTCGACTAGTTTCTTTCTTTCCTCTCTACTGAAACGAAAGAATGACGAAGCAGGCTTCTTTGGTTTGTTAGGATCCACATTGTCATCCTTTTGTTTCTTCTTTTGGCGATTTTCTTTCGTTTTCTGCCAGAAGTCAAACCAATCAATCAGCTTAACTCAACTTTTGTAAAAGCCTAATCAGAAATTGTATCAAGAATGGCTAGACAAACCTTGATCAAATTTTCTGTCTTTTCTTTCTTTTTGAGCAATTGAAGTGCTTCTTGCTTCTTGAGTTTCATCGATTCCTCCTCTTCCTTCATGTGTACAGCAGCTTCTTCGTCTTTTTTCTTCTTATAAACTTCCATTTCTTGCAAATATTTCTCCTTTTTCTTCATTGCCATCTGCATATATCGAAAGAAAACATGTCTATAAAGCTTCTAAAATAAGAAACATCCAGACAAAAGGGGTTTCAATTCTCCAAGATATGAGTAAAAATTACCTCCTCATAGGGTGCTTTTTGTTGCTCTGTCATGTTCTTCCACTCTTCACCAGTAATCTTCGCCACCTAGAAATGGAAGTACTAATTTAGAAATTTAATGAAATTCCAAGAAAGATTGCACACAACAAAACTCATCATGAATCTTTACCTCCTTCACATTGTTGTTGTTCTCAGCAAGCAGAGCAGATCGACGCTCATTTGTAAACAGGAAAAATGCTGATAAAGGTTGTTTTGGTTTCAAGGGGTCCTTTTCTTTCCTATATAACATGAATTAACGAGGGGAATATGAGATTTAAAGTTCACAAGCACCAAATAAATATGACCAAAAGAAAGTGAATTTTACTTTTTCTTCTTGTTTTCATTCACTATTGCTTCTTGCTGAAACTGAATGTATTGTTCAAGTAACTCCATAGCTGTCTTTTGTTTCTGCTCGTCATCCAAGAGTCTCATCGCTTCATGTTCGCGCTTCTCCATTCCAACGATTTTCAAGTATACTTCTTTCTCAGCTTGGTATTTTTCCTCATAAGGTTTTTTCTCTTCTGCACTTACTGTTTTCCACTTAGCACCCAATAAATTGGCCATCTCCTTGAACTCAGCATTTGGATTAGCTTTTTTCACCTGAAATAAATGATTAGCATTTAAAAACCAATAAAATACTAAAAGAACATTTCAATTGAGATTGATGAACCCTTCTTCACATTTACCTCATTCCATTGGTCTTTGCACCACAATAGGTAAGGCGGTACTGGCCTTTTCTTCGAAGGATCCGCCTTTTTCTTCTCTTTCTTTTCCTCTTTGTCTCTCAGCGATTGCACAATAGGGAAATTCTAATGAAAAATGGAAATTAAAAATGTCAGCTTTGAAACAAACTAGTTACAAACGACAACATAACCATTGACCAGTGTAATCCCACTTGTGGTGTCTAAAGAGGGTTAAATGTAGGCAACTCGTAGAAAGAACATACAAACAAGAACGAATGAAATATACCAAATCAATGCGTCTCAGTCCCAAATGAAAAAAAATGTCAGCTTTGATACAAATAATGCTTCAAAAGGATCAAATCAAACAGGGGCAGATCTAGAGAACCGGTAATGAGTTCTGCAGAGTCCAGTAGCTTTAGCGGAAACTCAACTTAATAGATATATATACAATTTATTTAAAACTCAATAGATCTGATTTCTTTTTTGATCTACTTTGATATGACTTTCCTTGTGCCAAGGGTCTATCAGAAACAAACTTTCTACCTCCCCGAGCTAACTACACTCCCAAGACCCCACTAGTGGAATTACACGGTATGTAGTTGTTGTCATTTATCGAGAACCAAGTAAGTTGTCTTTTTTTAGAATTCAAAAATCTATAAACTTCAAATTCTAGATTCGCATATGATATCAAAAGACGAGATTCAACAAACATACCAAGGTAGGTTTGAACTCTTTCATTTTCTGCAGCTTTTTGAGTTCAGTCTGAAGCTTCTCATGGTCTTTACCTCGCACTTCGAGCTCTTCCTCCTTCTGCTTCAGCATTTCCTCTCTAGCTTTCAACATTTCCTCAGTCTGCTCCTTCTCAAGTGTCATCTTCTTAAGCTTTTCTTGCATTTCTAACAACTCTTTCTCAAAAGAACTCTGCTCCATCTGCTGCTTCGCCGCCTTTGAGGCCCCTCTCTTGTTCGATTTCTTCTGGGATTGTGGATCAACATTCTCTTTAACAGAATCATCCACAGGCAACACCACGGAAGGCGACTGAACTACAGTTCCAGCCAGTATATTGGCTTCATTCGACGACTGTTTTTTCTGCTTCAGCACCTTCCTAGACTTCCCCTTCTTAGCGGGGACAGCGTCGGAGGGAAGAGTCATTTCAACAACAGTAGCCATGGCTTAGGGGGCTTGAAGAAAAAAAGGTTTAACCTAAAAAAGTAAAATCTTTTTAATGGTATTTGTTTAGTGAAAGAATGGGGCTTTATATAGGAAAATGGAGACCCAACGGCTAGTTTTTTTCAAATTCAAAAGTGCACTTTAGGTTCCAAGTTTCATAAAGTAAAGAATTTAATAAACTTTACCGTTAGCTGAATTAGATTTGATTTGCTAATATCCTTCTAAACACTGTTAAATAGGAAAAATCTTAAAAGCATCATTCAATAGAAAACTTAAATCTAGCTTCATTCAATTGAAAATATTTGAAGATCAGATTTTCGAAATCTGGTCAACTCATGGTCAAACAAAAAAATTGAAGAAAAATTTTCAAAATTTATGACCAAACGCTAGCCTATAAACTCCCTTATTCTTTTTCTACCCACATGAAACGATTTAACATAGTACATGCTACCCCAACCAACACAAGCACGAGTAACTCTGTTCACCAAGATTTGAACCAATAGAAAGAAATCATCTTATAATTCTGTTTAATCATTCCAAACTGTGGAATATCAAAGAATTAGTGAAAAACTGCACCAAATTACCTTAGTTGTGACTTGCAAATTTTTATTATAAGTACAAAGTGTACATACAACACAATCTTGTGACTGACCAACATCAAATTCTTATTTGATTCAGAACTCTATAAATAAATATTTCCAAATCCCAAAAGAAAGAAAAAAGAATTCCCACTACAGATTCCTGGAAAATCATGTATATGAGAATCAGGTAATAACATTGCAATCAAGATGAACTTCCCTAATTGAAAAAATCTATATATTGGCAAACTGATGCATCATCCGTGGAACATAGTCGCGAGGAGCACCTGTTGTGTGCCTTAAATCTTTAGTATTCACATCACAGAGTAGAGATAAACAAGCAATGTTCATCCCAGTGAGCTAGCCTTGCTCTTTTCTCAAGAAAACAACTTACATTTCACAAGTTCATCTCATTGACCATTCAACACCATCTCCATTAGCATATCGTTCCAGGCGTCTATAGGTCCAGGCAAACACCAATGCAAGCAGTCATTGATGACTTTTGCATTCTTATCTTTTGCAAATGGTTGGAAATGCCTGTATGGACCTGGATGCCCATCGGGCCTCATTAATGAAAGGCTAGTTACATCGAAAAGTTTTAGATTCAAACCCTTCTCAGAAGCTTTAGCTGTAGCCTTTCCGATTTCCTCCAACTCGATTTCATGTAGAATTTTGTTGACCTCACTCAAACTGAAATTACCTTCCTTCACTGGTTTTGTTCTTTTACAATTTCCTCCGCTAAACCACTCACCATTTTCGAAATGGACTGGTGTCGCGGTCCTGAAAAAGATCACGCCTTTGTGATTTGATGAGAGGATGTAGTTGAAAACATTACCAAGAACTTTATGGTACGCAAAGTTGAAACCAAGCTCAGTAAAGTTCTTTTTGGGACAGTTGTGACAACCCAATACTGTATCGTTTTCATAGTAGATTGCAGTTTTGACATACCACTCACCACTAGCAAATATCATATAGTCAAAATCCTTAAACTGATCTGTCCAACTCGTATCAAGTTTGTCGATATGAAGTTCAATCTCAGCTGTGGAAACTCCATTGTAGTCTTCAAATATATCTGCCTTTGCCAGAAAGGGGGACCAAATTACTGAAATGGTGAAGTTGTACGAGGGGAATAACCATCTCCTGGATCGGTACTCCTTGTCATGGTATACTTCAACAGCTTCCTCTACCTGAAATAGCATCATTTAACAATCAACAAGCTGACTCAAGAAGAAACCTATAGCTACAGATTTTTTAAAAAACAATAGCACAACCATACAGTTAGAAGAGCGACCAGTTCACAAAATCAGAACTTTCAAATAGTAGCATCAAATCCTGCTGATAAAATTATACAAGAAATTACAAATGACAGATGACTAGTATCTCATAAGTACTCAGTGTCTAGCAACGATTGAGTGATTATACCCTACAAATCACTTCCTTGCTTCGAAAACTTCTTTTTTGAGCCGAGGGTCTATTGGAAACAGCCTCTATGCTCCACAAAGTAAGGGATAGGGTCCGGGTACATCCTACCCTCCCCATGCCCCACTTGTGAGACTACACAGGGTATGTTGTTGTTGACAAGAAACTTTTGCAAGCAATTAATAGTCTCACTGGTTGACCAGCATGAGTGAACCATCCATTACGGCCGAAAGTCACATCCAAGATCGAAAAGTTAATAGATACCTTCCTTATATAACACTATAGTTTCTGTGCTAAACTGACTTTTATTTATCAAATCTTTATATAAGCAGTCTGATTTTCTGACAAATCCAAGATGATACTAACATCTTACACTTTACACAGGAGGCTCCTTACTACAACTACCCTAATATAAGGTCCTCAATAAGTGTGTGCTGAAACCTGCTACCATGAAACTAGTTGGCTTTCGGTACCCCAAGTAAAGCTAACCAAACTTGATAGCTCAATAATTAACCGGTTACAAACATTTCCTAGCAGAGACAAAAATGGTGGGAAGCAAGAACAAACATGAACACTGAAGAAGATTTTTAGGCTTCAACTAAAAATTAAGTTGAAAGAAACCAACAAACATCTCTTCAGAAAGTACGATGACTGTTCTTACTGAGGGAAATACTCCGGCAATATTATAATGGTGATAAAAAATATTGAACAATCAACACTCACGCTATCTCCCAGTAACAGCTTCCATGCAATATAAAGTTACACACCTGCACTTTAATGTTTGAAACACCTAATTTCACGAGATTCAAAACAAATACTACATCCATTCCAAATTGACTGACTTTTCTTCTTGGGCTGCCCCAAATGCTGCCCACTTTTTTTAAAAAAATAAAATAGAAAGCTCCGATGCATTTTTTTTATTACTATAGAAAGCTGTATCAGTTCATTTTTACTTCTGGACAAACTTTTCTCCACCACATTCTTCAATAACACAAGTTGGTCGGTTCATTTTCGGTGGCACGGAGCGAACATAATCGAGGATACCAAACATGGGAATGGAACACCATAATCCTCATTTCATTAATTTGTACCAATTGGATAACCAAAAATGTCCTAGGCAAAAATTTAAGCGCTAACTTATTCAAGACAAGCGAGCAGAATGTATCATGCCTTGAAGGAAAAGGATAATCCAAGCAATGACGATCAAAACAATCATTTTGTTACTTGATCAATGCCAATGCAAAATCATGGTGGAAACGTGGCAAAAGAACAACCAAAACTTACACAAACAATTTAGAGCTATTGACAATGATTGTAACTTGTTACCTTTGAGAGTACGCAAAGAAATGATTGGACATGGTTCCTTGATATTGAATCACCAATTAATGCCCATGTTTTATTTCTCATAAATTGAAGAAACTTGAGTGGATTAAACCGAGGCAACTTGCAATTTTGTGGATTCCACCTCCAGTAAAGATAACCGTTATCTGGTCGGCCATTCTTCATACAATTCTGATGGTCTTCAATAAATTTGCATGTCTCATTTGTGTAAACAGGACCAGCTGGATCAGGAATCCAATCTCCAATGAAAAGATTACACATCCCTGCTTGCTCTATAGCACAGCCAAGGAAACAAACGGCACCATGTGACGACAGAGATAACAAACTTGATATTCCAAAATAAGACGTACTATAAAGGGAAAACAACTAAAGAACCAGCCAACAAATCTATAACCTACTATGACGTGGTGCAAGCTACGCGAATCAAACAAAGTTTAGTACTATGTACCCTGTCAACTTCACCACTTGTAACAATTTCAATCATTTCGAACCCCCCACCAGGAAACCACCCAGGTTCCATACCAAATGAAATACAAACCAATAATAAGGCATCTTAGTTGCACATTTTAACTTAGTCACAAAAATTAAAGCTAATAAACTGCACTCCTAAGAACAAGAACCGCTAAATACACCAACAACATATCCACTATAATTCCACAAGTGGCGCTAGGGAGGGTGGTGTCTACGCAACCTAAGAGACCATTTCAGATAGACCTTGGCTCAAGTAAAGCATATAAAAAAAATACAGCATGTAAAGCAAATATAGTAGTGAAGAATCTATACTGAAAACAAATGGAGAAGATAAGAGTAGCAACAACAAATAATACAATAACCAAAGCCAAGGAGACACTAAAATCAAGGACAAGATAATCCAGAAACAACTAAAAGGATGGGGAAAAAACAGAGGCTCCATGATCATAGCTCAATGAATACAGAACACACACTACTCATTTGTATAATGGATATATAAGAAATATAAACATAAACATTATAACTATAACAGATCCAAAAGTACATAAATTTTCACATTTCTCAATCATGCAACTCTTCTTCCTTAAGAACAATAAATGATCATTAAGCATTTACCTTCCTTAATCACATTCAAATACATTACATACTCTAAACTACAAATCCAAGAATTGGGAAAAAGCTCAAATACCTTCAGGACCATTCTGATCTGCAATCTCAGGCAAACTGAAAGAAACAGGAGGCGGTGAAAATAGAGTCTTTTGAACAAAAGGGGTTTCTTGAACTTCAGAAATCACATCAGATCTTGAAAATAATAGCCTAAAAGCAAGACCCACAAGGAGAATCGAAAAACCCAACTTCAAAACAAAGTGATTTTGCTTGTAAACAGATTTCCACCAAGATTTCCAATGAAATAGCATTTTTTTCAGCATACCCACTTCTTCTTTAGCTCTTCTCTATCAGTATAGCCAAAGATCTTCAATGAAAATTCATAAAAATGTAATCTTTAGCTAAAGATTTCAAAGGGTATCAACCTTTTAAGTGAAAAAACAGGTATTGATGATTATACAGTATTAAATACAAGTTGAAGTAACCGACAAATCTTGAGTGTATGGAGTGACAAGTAGCAGATTACAAAAGCACATGATGAAGAAATGTTAAACAATTGAATTTTGGTTTGGAGTTGGACATTCACAGACAGAGAAGAAACAAGAGAATATTTTAATTTGTGTTCCTTATCACCAATTTTTATTTTTATTTTTATTTTTTGTATACATATATTCTAGATCTAAAACAGATTTTAAAATTATAAAAAGTATTCCCAAAGAAGTGTCCAAGCCATATTTGGTAATGTTGAGAATAATAGTTCAGTCGGTTAGCTATTTCATCATTCCCAACTATTTCATCATTCAATTTTTCATTAATCACCTTTTGCGTTTTTCATTTTGAGTTACGTTATCTTTGAGTTTCATGGTTTTTTTTATTTTCTTTAAAAGAAAATCTTGTTCTCATATCATATTATGAATTTTAAGAATTAAACTTAATTTAACCTCAAAAAGCTAATTCAGATGATATAGGAATATTTCTTATATGACCATTGGGACTCTTTACATCTAAATTCATAAGAAAACAAATACATAAAATAATGATTTTTATGACCAATTAAAATTGCCTTGTAGGATGAATAATTGCCTCGAGATGCCTAATAATATATACATTATTGGATCTTCTGAATAACAAGAAGAAAAACTTTATATAAAAGAATTTAATTAAATTTGAATTGGGTAGGGTATCAATTCCAATCTTATTGTCGTTGCTCGTTAATAATAAAATACAAGAACAATAATGTCTTAGTTTCAAATAAGTTGGATCAATTATATAAAATTTACTTTTTTGTTTAAGTTTAATTAATATCATATATATATATATATATATATAATTGTTATTGATAATAATGTAGGAATTGCTACTAGAATGGAAAATCTCTTTAGAAAAGGAAAGTCCTATCGAAAGTTGGAAGGTAAGTCAATTCTTTTAGCATTTCAGGTAGTTCTCTAAGCATCGGTTAACCACCTCCCTCACTGTTTGTATGAGATTCCACTTATTCTATGTCATTTTAAGAAGTTCTTTATCAAATCTAAAATTTATTCTCGATTAATTAAAATTACCTACATAAATGAAAAAAATCAAATTATGAAAACTCATCAGGTTGAAAGTTGATGTTTTTGATCATGGGATAACCAATAAAAACAAGTTTACAACGACGTATTTACATCTAGATAAAAGGAAACCGCTCAGATGCTAAACATCCTCCATCTTCGATCCTAAAATTATCAGTTCAAGTCACCAGAAAATGAAAAAATAAGAGGAAATAAATATATATTTGCATCCTATTGAAAATACTACCCACAATTCACAAATGAATCCTACCGTGCACGATCCTTCCTACATCGGCTAGAAGAATCAAAAAAATATTTGCATTTAATGATGTGCCATTTTGGGTGATTGGTTCTGCTTTCTTCAATATGAAGGCTCAAAAATATGGGGTTACATTATTATCATTGACAGATATACTTTTTTGTCTTTTATATAATATAGTTTTATGCCCCTTACCTAATGTGGTAGTATAATTGTTTAGTTGATACATTAATTTACCAACTAAAGAAAATGATAATTGAGTATACACGAGTGTTCATTTTTGGCATGTTGCAAATTTTGTACATAACAAACTATTATTAAATTTTACCATAACAAGCCAGTGAAAATAGCTAATTAATGAAGAAAAAAAACCCAGATTGCAACATAAAAACCATGTCTCACGTACAAGTTTCGAGTTAGCAATGAGCATTTATTGTCAATTTAAATGATTTTCGATCTAATTAAATTTTATTGTATTTTTAATCCTGAAAGAGTGAAAAAGAAGGATTGTAAGAGTAATAAATATTTGATATTTTGTATGTAGCAATAATTTTTTATAATCATGTGGTACTTTAACATAAAGAAAATCTTGATGCTCCGCTAGCCATTCCTCATGTTGAACATGCGGATCTGAATCTAGCCTTGCAGCTCCTTCCTCTCACCCTCAAGTTACAACCTAACGTAAGTTCTTTCGGCCCTTTTCGAGCTAGCATTGCTGCTGATATGCAATAGCTCCGGAAACGAAAAAGCAAAGTCTGATCTACTATACACCATAAGAGGAAATAATATAGTATTCTCTAAAAGTCTAGCACTTTTGAAATGTATAATTTGATTCTATAGTAACCTAACACCTTTCAAACGTAGAATTTGGTTCTTTTGGTTCTATAATATAAATAATACATGTAGATTTGTTTTCTATTTTCAAGAAGGTTCAAAATAAATCAAATATAATCCCCTATCGTCTTTTATTACTAGTAGTAAGTTTGTTCATCGTCGTAAAAACAATAATATAAACAATATATATATATACATATATATATATATATATAT